TATATATAATGGCAGCTACTGTGTATTAAGACCTGTGCTGGGCCTGGGACTCAGGAGACTAAGCCGCAGACTCAGCCCCTGAGGTCCTTGTTGCCTGGATGGGGAGATGGGAGTGAAGTCAGTGAGTTAAGAACATAGGTTCCAAAGCAAACTGCCTGCACTCAAATCCCACTTCTAGGGATTCCTGGCTTGTGACCTTTGCTTGTGTTTAGCATCTTTGTGCCTCTGTTTCCTGCACTGTAAAGAGAATGGCAGTAATTCTTACCTCACAGGACTCTCATGGGAATCAAATGAGAACTGGAACATTGCCTGTCACCTAGTAAGTTCAGTAAATAATTCCCATGTATATACATGCAAACAGGAATTTCAAGTGTCATAAAGAGCTGGGCTGTATAGAGAACACCTGCTCTTGCTTCTTAGCACAGGCCTTGGACCAGCATGGCCAAATCTGTAAAACATAAAGTTGAATTTTTAGAAAGTTGAATCTTGGTTGTATGCAATATGACTGTGGTGATGATGATGATACCAGAATTTGCTGACATCTTTCTGTGCGCCTAGCATTGTTATAAACATTTTGCTTGTGTTAACCCACTTAATTCTCTCAACAGTTCTATGAAAATGTATTAATTGGCTTGACTAAATTAATAATTTATAGACATGTTGTACACATTAAATGTATACTTTAAAAAAAAAAAATGAGCCTTACAGCAGGGCATGGTGAGGTACACCTATAATCCCAGCACTGTAGGAAGCTGAGGCAGAAGGATCACAAGTTCAAGCCCAGCTTGGGCAACTTAGTGACTTAGTAAGACCCTGTCTCAAAGTTGAAAAAAATTAAAAAGGTCTGGGAAGGTAGTTCACTGCAAAGGCCCTGGGTTCAATTCGCAGTACTACCACCACCTCCCGCCAAAAAAAAACCCAGCCTTATGAGGGTAGGAAGTGTTATAGCTCTATTAAACAGTTAAGATAGGTGAATCTAAGGTGTAGATAAGTGATAGGCAGAGATAGACGAACAAATAGGTAGATAACTAGATAAGTGTAATCATGCAGAAAAAATAAATCTTTTGGGAAAGGGAAGAGAAAGTGGAAAGATACTGGGATATTTAGGTACGTTCTTTTTTTAAAAATCTGAAACAAAGCCGGATACTAGCTTCCGCTGATTTGAGTCATGAGTGTGTAGATTGTTATTTTCTGTATTTGCCTTAGAGTTTGAAATATTTCATGATTTTTATTTCAGATTTTTATTGTAATAATTGTCAATTCGCATCCCGTTGTAAGAAACTATGGGGAGATCTAACGTCCCCTTTACCCAGTCTCTACCAATGGTGCCATTCTGCAGAACTATAGTACAGTATCACAACTAGGATAGTGGCACTGATCCAATCCATCCATCTATCTAGGTTTCCTGCTTTACTTGTACTCACATGTGTGTGTATTTAGTTCTGTACAGTCTTATTGTATGTAGGTTAATCTATTCATCACCGCAATTAAACACTGAATGGTTCTATCATAGTAAGAATCTTTGTGTTACCCTTTTATAACCACACCCACTTCCCTAAACACACACCATCCCTAACCCCTAATACCCACTAATCTCTTCTCTGTTTCCGTTTTCTTCTCCATTTTGTCATTTCATTATTACTGGTTTTCATTATTACTGATTAGGAATCAGTAGTTATTAAATGGAGTCATATAGTATATAACCTTTTGAATTGGCTCTTTTACCTGGAATAATTCCCTTGCGAGCCATCCAAGTCATTGTCTGTGTTGATAGTTTATTCCTTTCATTGCAGTAGTAGTCCATGTTATGAATGTGCCACAGTTTGTTAAACCATTTATTCACTGAGTGACATCTGGGTTGTTTCCAGTTTGGGGCTATTATGAATCAAGCTGCTATGAACATTAGTGCATAGATTTGTATGTGAACATAAGCTTTCATTTCCCTGGGATAAATGCCCAAGAGTATCATTGCTGGGTCATATGGTAATTGCATGCCTGGTTTTATAATAAACTAACTGCCAAATTGTTTTTTAGAGTGGCTATCCCTACTGCATAATGCTTAGAAAAAGTACTCAACTGGCCAGGACAGGTATTCCAGGTGGAAGGAAGAAGTATACAGAGATCTAGAGTTTGAAAATACAGTGTAAGTCATGGAAAGCAAGGTGTTTATGTTGCTGGGATGGAGTCTGGGTTTAACTAAAGAGACAGCACAAGTTTGTACCCATTCATTCAATAAAAAGATATTGACTACGCTTTGACATATGTCAGGCACTATTCTAGGCACACTGGAGGTGCTGCCTTCAGTCTAGTAAAAAAGACAGATATGAAATAATTGTGAAATGCATACAAGTGGGGAAAGAAAGTCTTAAATGGGAAAGAAATGTCTTAATGGAGACTTTTGCAGACCTTTGGTATATTCCATGAGGGTAGGATCATGCCAGTTTCATTCTTCCTGGATGCCAGCACATAGTAGGAATCAGTAAATATTTGATAAGTGTTGAATGGTCTAATCCAGTGTACACAGTCTCAGCCGTTGGCCTCTGTAAGCAGCTGCACGTCTCAGTCCCGCCATGTGGGTAAAAGGGCAAAGGCTTGGTCCAGACACTCCACCCTGGAGCGAATCACCGCAACACAGATTGGAAGCCAGCGTGACATATAAAAGGTTGGAATGCTCCACCGTAAATTTTTAATTGTTAAACAAGCAAAGAAGGTTGTAAATTCCGTGTGGCGGGACAGTATTGCATATTGTGCCTGCTACCACTGCCAAGGTTTCTTATCAGCTCGTTGGGATTTCACAACTTCTTGGGCTTCTTGCATGTTACAGGGGCTTCTCTGCAGGGTCTCTGGGGCATGGTGCAATGCCACCCTTTTTCCGTGGGGCTGGCAGCCAAGTTCTCTGTGCATCCTCTGTCTGACTTCCCTTTATTCCGTCTCATGCCTAGATTTTCACCAAAGGAACATCCGGTGCTCGCTCTTCCAGGGGCCCCAGCACAGTTCCCTGTCCTGGAGGAACACAGGTCACTCCAGAAGTACGTGGTATGGTCAGATGAGATGGTGAAGACAGGAGAGGCCCAAATCCGCACCCACCTCATCCGGCCCTATGTGGGCCTTCATCTGCGCATCGGCTCTGACTGGGTAACTTCCCCTTCCTTTCCCTGGCTGGCCCAGGACTATGGGATTGCCCTGAGTCCCAGCCAGGGTAAAGAGCATTCACTCAGCCAAGTCTGTGAGATTGTATCTTGTGATCCCAGTGAAGTGCACATCAGAAGTGTGACTCTAGAGTGCTTGCTGGCCAGCTTTCATTTTTAACAGCTGCCAGTTGTAGCCTCATTTTGTAGATGGATAAACTGAGGCATGAGGCCAGATCCCAAGTCAAGCAGCAAAATATAAAGAGACCCTAAGCTGGACATGGAGGCACACAGTGCTGTAATCCAAGCACTCAGGAAGCTGAGGCAGGAGGATCGCCTGCCTAAGTTCAAGGCCTGCCTAGGGTACATATGAGACCCTGTCTAAAAAAAAAGGAAAGAGATCCCCCAACCTAGGAGTCCTCTGTCCCAGCTCAGTGCTTAGGTAGCAAATTCCTTCTTGGAAACTGAACTATGGAGATTGAGTAGAGTTCCCAAGAAATAAACATGTCATCCTCCCAGAACTTAGAGGGTGCTTGACTGTGCAGAAGCCTCAGCAGATTACCCTCCTTGTGAAAATAACAGAACCAACGTAGACAGTCTCCTTAATTTACATGAGGAGATTTATATATTTGTTGGAAATGCTCACTGTTGAAAATTTTTAAATATTGAAATGTAAGGAAATTAGATTAAAATTCATTCATAGTCAGTCAGTGTGGTAATCTCACATTTACCTCCTGGAAAAAGAGCTAGGCTCCAAATATTTTATGAATGGTTTCAGCTCAGCCTTGAAGGAGTAGCTCCATCTATATTTGCCTAGAACATAAATGATAGTAAATTGCTATTTTTTTTTTTAACAACGGTACCACAACACAAATACCAAACTCAGATAACATCGACTCAGAACATTATAGCCATTCTTACTTATGAACATAGATGCACACACCCAAAGTAAATTATTAGAAGTAAAATCCAATAATGTACTAAAGAACATACAACTCAAACCAGGCATGGTGATGCATGCCTGTAATCCTAGCAGTCTGGGAAGCTAAGACAGGAAGATTACAAATTCCAGCCCAGGCTGGGTAACTCAGCAAGACTGTCTATCCGCCCCACAAGGCGGGTGGTGTACAGCTCAATGTGAAGGCCCTGGGTTCAATCACTAGTACCACCACCACCACCACCACCACAAAAAAAAACCATACAACTTAAACAAGTAAAATCTATCCTAAGAACATGATAAAGTTCATGGTATTAACACCCAAAGAAAAAAAATCATATGATCATCTCAGTAGAGGACAAGAAAGCATTTGATAAAAGTCAATACCCATTCATGATAAAAACTCATAACCAGCCAAGAATAGAATGGACCCACCCAAGCTTGATAAAGGCTATCTCTCTGTGTATGTGCTGCCAAAGCGAGTGCAAGGCTATCTCTCTGGAGCCCACAGCAAACATGTACCTCATGGGGAGCTATCAGAAGTGTCCCCACTGAAGTCAGGAATCAGATAAGCTGCCCTTTATCACCACCACTGTTCACAACTATACTGAATGTCCCAGATAACACAGTGAGACCCAGAAAAAAATTGCTTTTGCAATATTAATACCCTACCAACTCAGAAATAACTACATATCTGCAGTTATGCAGAATGTAGTGTAACTACATTTCTGTACAGATGCTTTTCCCTCTTCCCGGAATACTGTTAAAAAGTACAGCTGGGAATCCGGGGGGTTAGCTCAGTGGTAGAGTATGTGCTTAGCATGGAGGAGGCCGTGCCCTGGGTTCAATCCCTAGTTCTCCCCCGCCCCCCAAAAAAAATCAGTAGTTGGGCTTCTCCTGTTGTCCTGTCTTTCCCCACACAGCAGTTGCTTCTCCTGGGGTCCAGGCAGTTGCTGCCCTCTAACGCAGTGCCCACCCTCCTCGTAGAAGAACGCCTGTGCTATGCTGAAGGACGGCACCGCGGGCTCGCACTTCATGGCCTCTCCGCAGTGTGTGGGCTACAGCCGCAGCACAGCAGCCCCACTTACCATGACCATGTGCCTCCCTGACCTGAAGGAAATCCGGCGAGCTGTGAAGCTCTGGGTGAGGGCACTGAGCGCCCAGTCGGTCTACATTGCCACTGATTCTGAGAGCTATACGTCGGAAATTCAGCAGCTCTTCAAAAACAAGGTACATGTGGGCAAGGACGCAAGGCAAGAAAGTGCCATCTGGTCCTACTCTCCTGCTACATGCTTTCTGTTCTCCCGCCACTGGCCTTTTCCCTGGACATATGTTTCTTTCCAGGTCCTAGCCTTCCTTCTTGCCCAGCTCAGTCTCCTGCTCCGCAGACGCTTTCCAGGCTTCCCTCTGTTCCTGTAGCTCGTGTAACACTTGCTGTCTTCTCTTGAGGCATTTTCTTGATTGACTGAGACATATGGAAATGTGGCTTATTTCATCCAAGGAGTGTGGGTTTCTTGAAAGTGGGATTCAAGGATGACCCACTCTCATGTCCTTTCCTGTCTAGCCCAGTGCTCTGACTTCCTGAGGCCTAGACCCTTGCTTATCGTCACCAGTGCCTAGGACAGTGCCAGCTGCATAAGTACCCAGCTTGTTGAGTAAGCACATAGGGAATGGGACTTGAGAAGGGATCCAGTAAGGCAGAGAGCTAAAGAGCATTGACTCTGACCAGGTGTGATGGGGCAGGCCTGTAATCCCAGTGCTCTGGGAGGCTGAGGCAGGAGAATCACAAGTTCAAGCTCAGGCTGGGCAACTTAGTGAGACCCTGTCTCAAAATAAAAGTGAAAAATGTAGCCGGGTGTGGGGGCACATGCCTGTAATCCCAGCACTTGGAGGCTGAGGTAGGATGACTGCTGCGAAAACCTGGAGTCTTTTCGCTCCACTCTTCCCTTTTGTAGCTGAAAAAACCAAAGTCCCAAGAAGGGATTGAATTTACCCAAGAGGTTCCAGGGCTAATTTTAGTGGGCATGACACAGACTGGGTAAGTTTCAGGGTGCGGGCGGAATTGTTTGGGGGATTTTGGCCATGATTAAACTGGTTTTATTTCTTTGCTACAACCCCAGTAGCAAGCTAATGGTTTTTCTTATATCAGAAATTCAATGGAACAGCAGAGGACTTTCAGCTCTGTCTGCCCACACCCCTCCTCACCTCTGTACTAAGCCGAAGCGCTTGGAGAGTCCCAGGGAGTTTTTTTGTGAGCTTTAGAGTTGAAGTGTTTGTGGCACCTAGAGCCTCTTGCCATTTTCTGTTTCCTGTTCCTGGGCCAGTCTTCTCGCCTGTCCCCACCCCTGCTCAGCCCCTTCTCCTGGGCTCAGGCCCCGCCCTTCCTTCTGAGTTAAGTTTCGCTCCTCTGTGTCACTGGGCCAGTGCCCTGTCAGGAATGCTACCAAATAAGCTGTTCCAGCCCAGCATGGTAGCACATGCCTACCACCCCAGCACTCTGGGAGCCAAAGGCAGGGGAATCAAGAGTCCCAATGCTAGCCTGGGATACCTAGCAAAGCCTTGTCTCAAAAAAGTGTAAAAACAAAACAAAGCAAAACTTTGTAGTTTCCTTTGTCTGTTCTGTGGTACTCGGCCCAGGAGAGGTGGTGAGAGACAGTGAGGTGGACAGCTGTGATAGCTGATTGGACTGGAGAGCATGGTGGCTGGGCCCGTGGGGTGCCAGTCCCTCGCTGGAAGGATTTACCTCTGGGGCGGGCGGTGCATGGGATAGGGTAATGGGACAGACAGGACTTCAGGCCTGGAATAAGTGTGTGGGAGAGGGAGGCATCCAGGCGCAGAACTGGATGGGTGGTTGTCTGCACCAATCTCAGGTTTGGTGGAGAAACCCATCCAGCTAGAGCTTTGTGAGAATGGCAGAAATTGAGCTGAGCCTTGCGAGCCTGCTCAGGATCTGTGTGTGTGTGTGTGTGTGTGTGTGTGTGTGTGTGTGTGTGTGTGTGTTCGCATGCGCGCACACAAGCATACACATGTGCATGTGCTGGGGACTGAACCCAGGGCCTTGTGCCTGCTAACTAATCTGACTTAACTCTGAGGACGCTCCAGGATTTTAATAGGTAGAAGAAGGTGCTAGTGCAAGGGAAACCCTGCAGGCAAAGGCACAGAGGTGTGAGTGGTACAAGAGAAGCTGAGGCCTGAGAGGCAGCATCTGGCCAGCACTTCACTAAGACCCCTGACTCCACGTGTCCCTGCCACCCACTTCTCCTTCCCTCTGCACCCTTAGCCCAGTGGAGAAAGGGTGAGAGTGTGGCCCAGGGGCATCAGCCAAGTGCACCTGGGCCTGCAGCCATCTCATCTCATGTGCTCTGCCTTCTTCCTGCAGGTTAAGGTGGTGAGTCTGAAGCCAGAGGTGGCCCAGATCGACCTGTACATCCTCGGCCAAGCTGACCACTTTATTGGCAACTGTGTGTCCTCTTTCACTGCCTTTGTGAAGCGCGAGCGGGATCTTCAAGGGAAGCAGTCCTCTTTCTTTGGCATGGACAGGCCCCCTCAGCTGCGGGATGAGTTCTGATGCTGGCCAGGGCATGTCACCCTTCTGGCGGGGGCCGTGACAGCCAAAGGTACTTTCAGAACTGCAAGCTCCTGTTCTTGCCTGTCAGCGATGGAAGACAGTCCCAGGGAGGTAGAAGGCTTTCCTGCGCGGGGCACAGGGCTTTCAAGCTCCTAGGGGCCCAAATGCCCTCCGCCCCACGTGGTTCTTTTTTTTTTTTTTTTTCCTCCAATACCGGGAACCGAACTCACGACCTTGCGCTTGCCAGGCAGGCACTTTTGCCGCTGAGCTAAATCCCCAGCCCCCCCACGTGCTTCTTGCTGTTTCTCCACTCAGCAGAGCAGTCCAACATCTGTCTTTTGATCTGCCCTGGTCAGAGCAGCCTGGGGTGCTGAACTCTCTCCAAAGACATTTTTATATAGAGATTTTTATAGTTTTGATACAAGGTCATGACTACCCATGAACTCTTTCTTATTTTTAAAAATCAGTGAAGACCATTAGCATAGATACCTAAAGTGACCTTAACTGAAATGTGGATGAACCCAGGGTTGGGATAGGTCTATTGGCCACTTTTCCTGGTGGCCCCTAATGTGGCCCCCAGACTTTTCCCAGTGGTCCCCACTGGCTGGCCAGAGCCATTATCATTCCACTTGGAAGGCCATTGCCAGGCCTTGGGGTGTAAACATTCTCCTCCATCGGAAGCACTGTGCAGATGGCAGCTGTTAGTCATGGTGCTGTGCAGTCTTCCAGGGCAGCAAAGTGCCACTTGCCCAGCTCATCCCCTGTGAGGAATACACGCTACCAAGGTAGGTGACAGTGGTATTTCTCCCAGTCCTTGGTCACTGATGGCTGCCACAAACTTGGCAACATCAGGGCCTCAGACTGCATTCCTGGGGATCCAGGCTTTGGGGCCTGACAGGATCCTCTGAGTCTACCCTCTCCAAGGGCCTGGGGTGTCCAGAGCCTGTTCTCAGCCCCAGGCCTGACACACTGCTTATTCCCAAAGGAGTGTCTGCCAAGCCTCTGACATGGAGATGATGCCCAGGACCCAGGAGCTATCTGAATTCCCAATTTGGAAGCATCCTTTGACTCTTCCCATCCAGTATGATCTCTCCTAACGCCATGAGGCGTTAAGGTGTTAGAGCCATGAGGTTTATTGTCTCTCAGTTACCATGGTTTCTTAGGACCCAAAACACCAGAAAGTCTGATTTTTTGACCTTGTGGTTCTAAAGTTTCACATCTAACACCTGTGGGTCTCTTCCCTGCCAAGTGACCTTCCTTCACCTCTGATCCTAGATAGGCGGCCCAGAGCTCCACTGGGGCTTCTCCCTTAATTGGCTTTGGAAAGAAATCCTTTGTTGTCAGGAACACAGTGAGTCAGAGGTCAGAGGTTGCCGGAGGATCTCTAACACCAAAGCCAGCATTTGCTGCCTAGAGCTATTGCCAACTCTAAGCAAGAGAAACCTCTGAAAACACTTTTGTAGTTTTCCCGCGTAGGAAAACAGTAAAGTGTTTTAAATCCTGGCAGAGACAGCTTATCTGTCCAGACTTGCTCTCAAGCCTCACCCAGAGGAAGGGCCACAGATTGGGGAACCATGTTGTGAAAGCCTGGCTCACTGGCCAATTTTATTTCTACATTCCTCTGCCATTCACAGCCTTAGAGTAAGCAACCCTTGAGTCTAGGGCTCTGCCAGGCCATCCAAATCATCGGGATTGGCATCTGCAACAACGCTAGCTTGTGTTCTAGGAGCAAAGCCAGTGGAGCTCTCAGACTCAGGTGTGCTTTGTGGGCAAGTGCTTTACTCTTTGACCCAGCTTCCTCGCCTGTAAAGTGGTGATAAAACCCACAGGTCGTTCAAAGCTCAAATCAGCTAAAGCCTATGTATTTAAGACCACAATGTAAACTTGAAAAAGACAAAGGCACATATGTGGCTATTGATTAATTTGCTTCTTATTGCACACCTTATCCATGCCAGGCACTGTGCTTGCCAAGTACTTTTTAGGCGTTCTCTTGTTTAGTCCCCATCCCAGCCTGGGAAGTAGTGACTATTATTCTTGTCTTTCTGCACAAGGAAAAACAAATGCTTAAAGACTTCTCATAATGTCCCCAAAGCTGTGCATTGGTGGTGGTAGCCAGTATTTGTCCTGCCAAACCCAGTTCTGTTAGCCACTGTGCTGTTACCCTCAGTTCACAAGATGCACTTTACAGTGCATCTTGAAGAGGCCTCTGCGGGGAAAGATCAGCCACCTTGGTTTCCATGGGGCACATGCTGTGGATTTGCCACTACCAGGTTTTGGAAGAAAGAGGTCAGTAAGAAACAGATAGCCCACCACGTGAAACTTACTCAGCCCTTGGAGTTAATTCAGCATTCTTTTGTTTAACAAGTATCAATCACCTACTATGTGCCAGGCCCTCAGGTACTAGGTATGCAGCAAAGTCTTTGCTCTTAAAGGATTTGCAATCTAAAAAGTAGAAGGCATAATAAAAAAGCCTAGCGTGGGAGGTGTTAAGTGCTCTAAAGAAAAAGGCAAGGGGTGCAGAAGAGGACCTGTCTTAGATAAGGAGAAAAGCTGCCTTACGGAGAGAAGGAGCACACTGTTCAGATAGCTGGAGGCTGAGCAGTCCCAGCAGAAGAAGTAGGCTTGTAAAGGGCTGAGGTTGGCCTGTGAGTCTGAGCTGCAACAGGGAGCCAGGGAACAGCAGCAGACCAGGATGACCAAGTAACACTTCTGTAGCATGCAGGGCTAGGCTGAGGCCTAGACTTGGCCTTTTAGTTGGAAAGATACCATATGAGGCCCATTACAGGGTTCTGGACAGGGGAGGGCAATGATCTAATTCGCATTTCTGAAAGACCCTTCTGGCTGGCATGTGAAGAGGGTGTTGGAGAGGAGGAGTGAAGGCAAAGAGGTAGTAGGGGGATGTGGCAGGGGTGCAGATGAGAGCCTAGGGGCTCACCTCCCCCGGACTGAAATTCCGGCACCCTCTCCCAAGAGGCAGAAGCAATTGCATTATTTTTAAATAAAAATAATGTTTAAAAATGTGTTTAGAACTCAGTCTTTTTTGAAGATATAAATCTTTGCATCCTTTTAATCAGGCATCATATACAATTTCATGTCTTGGTTTTTTTATTTAAGAGTATATCCTATTTCCCTGCTAGTACATAGTCTGAACAAATGCTTTTAACTATATAAAGTCCCATTGGAGGGTATTCCATAGTTTGTCATTTTCTTATTATGAGACTTTCACATGTTCCCAAAGTTTTACCACTGTTATTTGAAAAATGTATTCATTTGTAAAGATTTTTCTTTATTTAAAATATGCATTAAAGTAAATTCCCAAAGCGAATTTATTGGATGTAAGACTCAAAAGTAAAACTTTTTATTATGGAAACATTAAACATTAAAATATAAACAAAAATGGTGAGTAGTAAACTGAACTCAAAGTTTTAACAATTGTCGACATTTACCAGTCTCGTTTCATTCCACCTCCAAGTCTTCTGCTCACTGGAGTCTTTTAAAGAAAATGTGAGTACAGGCTGAGGAAGAGCCCTTCACACTGAATGGGGGTGGGCGGGCAAGAGGAGCCCAGACTACAGGAAGTTGTCCCTGATTTGCAATGACCTTAATGCAGCCCCCCGCAATACCTGGCATCCACATTATTATTGGTGCTGTCACAGCTTGTATCTAGACATCCCCCTAAAGCCTCATGCAATCACAGGTGGAGCTTTTCAGAGGTGGCTGAATCTAGAATGTATGATACTGGGATTAAGGATGTGATGCTAGGATTGATTCATTGTGTAATGCTAGGACTGAGGGTCCCCCACCTTAGGTGAGTTCTGTCCGTCCTAAGGACTGCTGTGGTCACTGTTGCTTGCTGCTTGCTTTTGCTGCCTTCTGCCTGCCATGAACTGTTCTGCATCTGTAATGTCCCTCTGCCATGTCAACCTGCCTTAGATCCAGCTGACTAGGAGCTGAAACCTCTACAAACTCTGAGCCAAAATAAACTTTTCCTCCTTTAACTTTGGGTATCAGGTATTTTCTCTCAGCAATGGGAAAACTAAGGGAGGTGCTAAGGTGGTCTCCAGAGCTTCCTTGCAATGCTACTGGGTAAGGCAGAGTCCTGAGAGCTACCCCACACACACTTGAACCCAAGTAGCAACTGGGCCATGCCCAGGAATCTGCATTTTCACAAGCATGTACAAGTGATTTCGATGCCTATGACCCAAAGTCTGCTAAAATTGTGGTCCTCAACCAGCAGCATCAGTGTCATTTGTAGGAGCTTGATAGAAATGCAGAATCCCAAACCAGACAAGGTTGTATCTGTAAGCCCAACATTTAAGGAGGAACACAACTTCATGTCCCTTCTGGGCAGTTAAGCAAGACCCTGTCCCAGAATTTTAAAAATTTTTAGAAAGGAACTGGGGATGTAGCTCTTGGTAGTGCATCCCTGGCAAGCCTGGCAGATGCCACTAAGGCCCACAACAACGTGACTTTAGCAGGTGCTTCACACTCTGATTGCATTGACTTTGTCTCTTACCCTGTATTGGCGAGGGTGGGAGTTAGGGGAAATGGGATATGTAACTTGGTGGTCAAGTCTTTGGTTGTTTACCAAATTTACATAAGTTACTAAATTTACATAAATTACCAAGTTTACATAAGTAAAGAGAATTCTGAAGTTTTTTAATTTAGTAGAGATGAGTTGTGAGTTAGGCAGAAATGGAGAAGCTGATGTTGAAAGGAACAAAGCTGGGAGACACATTCCTGAAACACCATAGAACCTCCATGGGGGAGAGGAAGAGGCAGGAGAGAAGGAAGGAGAGAAAAGATGGGAAGAAAGCTGAGCTCCTGTTTCCATTTTCAGTTCACCTCAGAGAAGCTTAGTAGATAGTAAGTAACAACAATAATAAGCTGCAGACATGAAAATAAAGACCCCTTCCTCTCCTGACGCTTTCTAGCCCTACTGGAGTTGACAGAAAAAATAAATAAACCGCATAGCCTGAAGGCAAATCCTGCACTTTATGTTAGAATTCATTCAGATTCTTGCTTGAAACCTGGTTTATTTAGGGGTTGGGCCCTTTCCCCTGAAATAACATTTTTAAAAGCAAGCAGCCGGGCGTGGTGGTGCACGCCTTAATCCCAGCACTCGGGAGACTGAGGCAGGAGGATCATTGGGAGTTTGAGACCAGCCTGGACTACATAGTGAGCTCAAGGCCAGCCTGAACTGCATAGCAAACCCTGTCTCAAAAAGACTAAAATAAAATAAAATAAAATAAAATAAAAGCAAAGCAAACAGGTTTGGGTTGGTTTGCCATCTAATTTTTTATTGACATCTTGGAGGATTCCCAGAATCAGCAGGTAAACAGGAGCAGGTATGCAACAAAAGGCATTTCCTTTTGGACCTCCCTCCAAGGCAGTGACACAGCAGAGGGGGCAGTAGCCACCCCAGGGTGCAGCCTGCAGAGAAGCCCCAACCCTCGGAAGAATCCACTCCTAAAAACAACTGGCATCGCTGGAGCCACTTCATCCCCTTGGACGGGGCGGAAGGGTCATTACCTCTCTGGTGGTTCGGGAGAGATCGCTCCTTTTCTTTTTCAACCCTGCTGTCAGTGCTGGTGAGAAAGTCCCAGTTCACTGTCAGCTTGTTATTCCTGCACTTGCTCATACTCATCTGTGGAGAGAGTGGACTTGAGAATCAGGCAGGCTTAGCTAGTTGTAATTCAGTCACAGTCTTCGCTATATTTATTTTTTATTTACAGATGTGGTTTCAAGTTTCCTTTTAAGAAATTTATTTAGGTTATAAAAAGTGAGTTGGGCTCAGAAAAAATACTAAACAGTGTGGAATGGGGGCTGGAGGCATAGCTTAGGGGCCAAGTGTGTGCTTTAGCAGGCATGAGGCCCTGGGTTCAATCCTCAGCATCCCCTAAAAATGAGGTATTAATTGTAAAGATTAAGTTTGGGGGAACCTCACTCAGCCTCATGTTTATGCCCTAGAGACACCTCAGGACACAATCCAGGTGGCTCAGTGCCAGAGAAAGGTACAAGGATTGGAATCACAATCGGAGAAACTTCTGTCCACTCAAACCCCACTCAACCCCCTCACAACTCCAGACTATTGTCAGGCCTGCCTTCCGTTTATACTCAGTGTTTCAAGACCTTCTTCTATGAATTTTTTCTCCTTGGAGCCCTGCAGCCCCTTGAAATTCTAACAATGACTGTGTTCTAAGGACTGTACAGAAACAACTCATCTGACTCACAGAATGACCCAATGAGATTGCTTTTTTTTTTTCACTGCTGGTGATGAAACAAGGGCCCCAGATATGCTAGGCAAGCACTCTACCACCAAGCTACACTTCTATCCCCAGTTGCTTTTCTTTTATCTCCATTTTACAGATAAGGGCACTGAGGCATGGTACGGGAAGCAGTTATCTTAAGGTCACACGGCCAGTAAATGGCCGAGCCAAGACTCAGAGCCTTGGAAGTGTGGTATAAAGTCGGTACCCTGTGTTGTGCTGCCTTGTTGCTTATCAGAGGACAGTGTCTGCTTATCTGTTTCCCCAGCTAGAACAGAGGTTGTCTCCTCTTAAGAGAGGTGGGGGCCACCGCACCCCACCCAGAGCAAGGACCCTGCCTTAGGTATCTCTGTTCATCAGCTCCTAACCCTACTACTTGGCTTATGAAAGTGTCCTTATATGGGACTGAACGAATGAACGAATGTGCAGAAAAAGTGGTCTGGGCGGGTGAGTTGGCTTCTGGCATCATGAAAGTTTCATGGAGCAGGTAGGAGATGAGCGGAAAGTGGGGCGCAATTCCAGCAGCTGCCTGTGGGCAAAAGAAAAGCCAGGCCGGATGGCGGGCTCAGTAAGGCAGCAGCCGGCAGCGCATGTGGATCCACGGGACAAGGGCACGGGAGATCTGAGCAGCGTGAAGAGCCTGGAGCACCACGCCCAAGTCTTAATCAGGATTGTCTCTGGGTAAGGGGAAATGGAGTGAAGAGGGGAGCGGGGATCTGTGAGGATTCAAAGGGCCCACGGGAGCCATCTATAAGTGAAAGTCTCCTAGTAGTGCCTCTGAGGGCACTCCCGTGGGCAGAGCTCTGGCTTTGCAAAACTATGCATGCAAATAAATTCATCTATGCAGTAAAAACAATAAAAAAGTACAAATGAATACACCTACAGAGTGAAGAATGACCAGATCCCTCCCTAGAGGCACTTCCTTGTGAGCTTTCCAGAAAATTTTCTTGCTCTACAGATATTCTTCATTTAAGGACTTACCTGCCATTGATGACCTACTGTTCTGGCTTACAACTCACCACTCGGACTTACAACCTGTCTGGTGTTGTTGTTTTGTTTTTTTGTTTTTGAGGTGCTGTCCAAAAGCCTTGATGTCTTTTTTTTTGTACAGTACACCTCATTTATACAATATGGTAATTTTTGATGATTGTATTGTATAGTACTATAGTTTTATGTTCTCTTATACATTATGATACTGCATATGAGTTACGCAAATAAAACCAAAGTTGTCAAGTTGGAGTTTCTTTTGACCATTTCTTTGTTCTGAACATTGTACACACCACATACAATTCGTCATATAGTAACTAATTCATTCAGTGACCTAGTCAACCTAGTCAAAGGACTGTAACTCAGTCGTTAAACAAGGAGCACCTGTAGCATATTGTATTTTAGGCACATTCACTCAGGATGTTGTACTAATAAACATAACATTCACGAAAAGACAGATGTCTTCAAAATATGTATTATTTCTATGATGTCTGATACTGGGAGAAAATAAACTACCTGACATTTCTTTGGAGAGTGAGGCAAAAGAAGCAACCTCAGGAGATTGTCTGAGGCTACATGGCCTCAGAACACACAGTGGGTTTTGCTGTACTCTAATCAGGCGAAAATATTAGGGAGTCAGATGAGTGAAAAAAAACAACCTTTTTCTCTATCTCTGCTTCATCACTAATAAGGCTGACATTCTGATCTTCCTTCTGTTTCTTCTTTTTTAATATGTTCCAAAGCTAAGAGAGGAGTGAATTACCTATTGGTGTCCTTAACCCCACAAACATCTCAATGCAGTCATAAATTTTAATTGTCTAAATCTTCATACTTGTGTTCTGAAGTAGAATTGTGTTATTTTCTCATGTCAGCAAACAATTTTATTTTAAAGTACAAAGTATTTATAAAGTACAAATGAAAGCATTATATGACGATCCTCTTTCCTTGCTGGAATAAACAATTCCCACTTTATTATGAATAATCTTAGTTGGGATCTGCAGCAGTTGGTCCTGGGTAATTTGAAGATAGATCTTCTTTATCTTCATAGGCCACTCCACACCAAATACAATACAGATGTTCTCCCCTTCTAAGGATAGCCAGTCAATATTTGTCACTTTCCCAGTACACTTATGTCTCTGTTCTTTTTTTAAATGTCTTTGTTCTTATAGTTACCTT